CAGTCGGTAGTTTTTAGTTAGTTACTATAACTTATTAAAGTGGGTGGATCTCCTTTTGAATGCGCTCCTGTTTCGTGAGAAACCAAGCAGTTAGGGTACAGATCGGGGAGCATTGGCCGATGGAGTCATCGGGTCCATGTACCGTAAAAACCGTTATGGGTGTCGCGGGTTTTTAACATAGTAATTTTAGTGGGGTGTATTTTGGCTAATTTCCACGGGAGCAGTGGACCCTCTAGAGGAAGACAAATTTGGGCCAATGGAAATAGACGATCGGCGGCGGAACACGGCCCGGCTATATTTAGAGGTCCAACGAGGCAGCCCGAATTGGCGTAGAAACCGAGGAATGGTGTGCACATCAAGAGGGACAAAATAGACCGCCCGTAGCACCAATGCATCCGTGACGGAAGGGCCCGTTTTCACCACAATTCGCCGGAAGCCACACAGTTCAAAGTTATCAAGGTAGAATATGGCTACTTGTCGGTACCCGCGTCGTGCATCGTGATCCGGATGCCGCTCCACTAGCCAGCCTACCCTGAAGGGTTTTCCGAGGACCCGCAAGCACAGGCGGCGGAATGCAGCTCCTGATGCCTTCATTTACCCTGGACAGTATGCAGTAACGGATGTAGGTCGCTGTTGCAGTAGTTTCTGGCTGTAGATAGAAGCTAACGAGTGTCGTGTATTGAAATGAGCAAGAATTGTGGCAGCTGTTCTCGGCTGTGGAACGTGCAAGCCACTTACTCGGGACTATCTGGGTGAGGCATGGCGGAACGCTTGCGCAACACGCTGAAAAGAGTCTCAGCGCCGCCGGCCACTTCACGGGACGCCCACGAGTTACGCCTTGCGCCGGTTTCGTCTGTCACTCTTTTCTACACTTGTTCTCTACACTTGACATCGCAGTCACCAATTTGCGCCAATACGGGGTGCGAAACCAAAATTACAACTACATCGATGTTTACGGTGTATTTTGGCCACCAAGACCTTTCGTCTCACAGTGCTGATCTTGTGAGCCGGCACCGTACCGACCACTTGCAGTTCTGCTGAGCTTACGATGCGTAGCCGCCGCCGTCCCGCACGCCACGAACGTCGCGCTCATCCGCAAAACGAGCTTCACCTTCCTGCGGGGTAGGCATCCTACGGTCGCCGTACCAGAAGTAGGCGTCCACGGCCAGTCCAAAGATGGAAAATACGAGAGTAACGGCTGCCCCGACCCATGCTACCCCGGTCTTCAACTGGCCACCGAGGGCTTGCTGCAGCTGTGCGCCAATTTCATGCGTGCCCATCGCGAACGCGAAGCCCACCACGACAAACGCGAGTCCGATCCTCCGGCAAAAGACGCCGACCCCGCTCACGAAGCGGGGTGGGCTGGCCATCACAGCCACAGCAACGCAAAACGCGAGCGAGAGCAGCAAGAAGAAGAGGATGGCGGCGGTGATGCAGACAAAGACGTTGAATGCGATACATATCTCGTCGCGGCCGGCCATGCTGCCGTAAATGTGAGATGTGCCGATGCGCGCCGACGTGAACAGCGACTTGGCCACATCCGACCCCGCCGACTGGAGGAGATCTCCTAAGCCTCGTCTCGTGTCATGCGAAGCCCGTGCCGTCTAGTGGAAGAAGCCTTCCTTGTTAGCAGTTTTGCTTATGACGATGACAAAGGTCGTCACGATGACGATGACGCACGGCAACTGCTTCGCGAGGTTTATTAGTAGATGTGTAGTCATGTTGGCCTGTTCCTTTCCGCGTGTCCGTCCTGGGGCGCCGCTCTGGCGCCGCGCGGTAGCCGTGCTATAAATATCCCTCGTGCCGAGCCGTTTCTCGCT